GCTTTTGCTTTCTATACGCCTTTGCGATATTTTGGTCGTTCTCTTGCTTCATAATCGGTGTCAAGCTGCCAATAAACGGTGAAGGTTTGTCGCTAGGAACATCACAGTCAGCCACCATCGTTCATCTAAACTAAGGAAGCGATGCAATTAGAGAAGAACATGTCGAATCTTACTGATTGATTAAATAACAAATAGTAAATAAATCGCTTTCAAACTAGGAGGCAAATTTGCATTTGTAATCATAGTTCCAAAACCTCTGTTTAAAGTGTTACACAATGAACAAAATGCAATTAAAAAGCAACATTGGATCGGGTAGCCTGTCGCTGCAACACTGGTAAAAAAAGGTATTTGTTCCTTCATGATGCTATGGGAAAGGGCAGCAGCTGACAAAATTTATTAAGTAGCATGATGATTTAGGATTGCTACAGAGAGTAGTTCTGCGGTCATTAAATATCATAAGTTGTTCGTATGAAGAAGTATCTGAAACAACTAATGATTATTCCAACAGCAGACTTCGATTATGTGAGATGCATTCTGCCACTCCCACAAAATTCCGACCCAGGAATCTCATCGTGGTGTGGGAGTGGCAACGGTCAGAGCGTCGAAGCATGACGGGGCACGTGCCCTGGCAGCTCCTGGAAAGCCGAGATGATGCAGCACTGCATCTCTGGCCGGCTAAGCATCGGCGGTACCACTGACAGCCAGGAACAGCGAGTGGTAAATTAATTCATGAACAGAGGAAGAATATGGGTCGCGTATCCTACGCGTCTTTGGGACCGGCCTCCGGTGGCGTGCCGGCATCCGAAGAACGAGGGGCTGCTAAGAATCTCAGGATGCACTAGGCGGCCAAAAAGAAAAAGAAATGGACCTGACCTCACGACATGCACCTAAAATTGTAGGTCGCTGTTAAAGGATGAACATATCAACCATCTCCTCCAAGAGATTAATAGAACGTCTTGCGATGTTCTTGGGGTCTATGAGACACGAAGAAAGTCAGAACTCAGCGCGACCTGGAGGAATGGCAACATTGTTCTTTCGGGAAAAAGAGAAGGACAGAGGAATATAGGTGGAATCGGGTTTATTATGAACAAGAAGTGGTCTCCACAAATCCTTTCCTGCCGCCTTAGTTCATCGCGAGTTGGTACACACCTTCTATGGCTGGATTCAAACAAGACCATCAAAATCGTTGAAGTCTATGCCCCCACTACGGTCAGCGACGACGATGAGGTTGAAGAATTCCATGGGGAGATCGCATGAACTATCACCCTCAAGTTCACCTATACAGTAGTGATGGGCGACTTCGACGCAAAATTTGGTCGAGGGGGAGGGCCGGAGAGAAGCACATTGGCAGGTTTGGCATTAAAGAGCGAGGCAGGAGGGGTGATAGAATGGTGGCGATAGCAGAGTCCAACAAACTGTTCGTCGATAACACCTGATTCGAAAAAAAGCGAGATGGAGATGGCCATGGATTACACCAAACGCAGTTGCCAAAAACTAAATCGACTACATTTTGGTTGATACACAGCGCGTTTTGAAGGACGTCTCTGTAGTACCCTCGTTCCCTCGCTCAGCACAGGAAGCGATCACCGCATGATGCGGGCAAGAATACACGTAATTCCGGCTGTCGAACGAAGGACACTGTGTCGTATCAGCGTACAAGAACCACTGAGACCAACGAAGCAAAGATAGAACGACAAGTCGGAACTATCGACTGGATTATGACGGCGCGCACTGAACAAGATTACCAAAGTTTCATTAAGAAGCTTCGTCGGGGCTTAAAATGAGCCGAACATGTTCCGCCTCGATGACGGGATTCGATGGTCTCAGGGGTGACAAAAGAACTGCAAGAGTAAAAAAGAACCATGAAGCGAGATTAAATCAGGAATGAAGTGTACAATCTTCTCTGCGTGACAGTTCGCAAGAAGCTGAAGGCGGACCTCGAAGACTACAATCGTCGAAGGCGAGCAACGGCGGTTCAAAGAAAACAAAGCCTGGAAAAATGCAGAAGGTAAATGCGATTATACCATCAAACAGCAGCGGCGCTGAAAAATGAGGATGTTGTCGAATCATAGACCGAAAAGATATGGAAGAACTATGTAGAAAATTTTAGACGAAACTGTTTGCTTCATCTGTCGACGTACCAACAGCCGAAATTCGAAACGCCAAGAAACTAATTTTCACGGTGCTGATCAAAGAAGTAAGAAACGCAATCTTCCAGATGAAAAGTGGATAAGCTCCTGATTACAATGTTATAATCATTGAGATCATGAAAGCCTGTGGGCTCGCACTCAGGAAGGCACTCCTATTAGATTTAGTCGCTACCTGACTGAGAAGACTACCTCTAGCAGCTGGAAGGAATCGAGGACCGTTCTGCCTCATAAAAAAGAGCGATAAAGAAGACC